CCTCGCACCTACAATTCTGTTGCACATATACTGTATATGCTATAAATTCGAGCCTAATACAAATCTGCTATCAGTATTTCATACATGTGCCATTACAGCGATGAAACTGCCTCCAATTAAAAGGCCCAACAGAAAAAAAAGAGTACATCGCACCAAGTACCAAGAAAGTAAGTATGCAACACAGTTCTCAACTAACTTAATACTGCATGCAGCAAATAAAACCAAAGAAACTTTTCAGCTGCCAGAGAACAAATTCTGAAAGTACTTTCTTTTTGGTTGACCTATTGTTATTATTCCAAGTTTCTTGAAGAAAATCAGAAAGTCACTTTGTGGTCTAAAGCTCTTTGTGAAAACATCAAACAGTTGCATGATGGTTAATTTTTTTTTTCCCAGCTCTCCACATAGCCCTCAAAAATAGGGACACCAGGACAGGCCTGCAAAGGTTGGTCATACCAGCTTGTACTAGTGATCTTCAAGGCACCATTTTGGACTTGGATAAAAAAGTAATTTTGTTTAGCACATATCCTATCATACCTGGTTATGATCTCCTAAAGCTTCTCCCAGCATTCTCTCAATGTTTCTCATCACAGCAACTTTCTGTTGTGGTGATAGTGGATAATTGATCCGGCTTGGAGTTGGGCCAGCCTGTAAAAATAAAAAAAAAAGCTGAAGTTGATTGCAATGAGGAGCAACACACAATACACTGTAGCACTTAACATTGATTAACAGAAGCAGCTGAAGGAATTTCTCTGATCCATTCAGCTCCCTTCACATTAACCTTTCAAATAAGTTATTTTTTCAAACTTCCACCAGGTCACAATATTCTTACATATGTCTCTCTAACTATGATTCCACTAACAAATAACCCATGATATGCACAATCCAAACCACTTTAAATCATTTTTATTCCACAAGCATGTAGATATATGTGGAATGGATATGTAACATTAAGTAAATTGTATGATTTCCTGTTGATATTTACCCTCCTGCATGGAACATTATGCAATTACTGTATATTCTTGTCTGATCCTGGGTTCTTAAACTTCTTAGAATACAGTCAACTGAAATGTTTGAAATTATACCGTAATGTAAATCATTTATACCTTGTACCAAAAGTTGACAGATGTGGTGATCCCTCCATTTATTGTTGATTCCACATGGTGCCACCTATTGCCCCCCCCCCCCCAAAAAAAAAACATTTTGAATACTTTGCTAATCTGGCAGGGGGCAAGAAGGGTAACATGTGTCATGTCACTCAATGATCAAGGGATTCCTTGATCATCAAATTGTTGGTCAAAATTTCAGTAATTGACATGACTCAGAGACTTTCAAACTCCACATGTTCAAAGTCAAATCTTACCAATACATTGGTATGTAAAGAACATCTCCAGGACCAACTATGACTTCAAAAGCTTTTGCATATCTAAACTTTGGAAATCTCTTGTGATCTGGATTGTCAAAATCAACCTATTTTTGAGACAAGTACAAGTGTCAGCAATGTGGAATCAGTTTAGAGCAGGCTACTTTAACCCACCTTCACCATGATAGCTTCCGAAAAAACTGTACGGTTATTAAAATACTAATTGAGAAATTTGTACACTCAGCAACCATTTCTAAGGTTTGAGTGGAAATGAATGCATCTCTTACATTTAGTAGTAACAACATAAAGCTGTGGGAATCAACTCCATCACATCACAGACAAGTGATGAGAACAAAGAAAACTATCAGTTAAGGGATTATTAGTTGATCCAATAAAAAATTCCCAAAACTAAAATCATATAAGTTGTTTGGCAGACAGTAAGGAGGATTGTTAATTAAATGAGATCTTTGAGGAATGAAAGGGTTGGTCCTTTACAACCTAACTTTAGTATGCATATTCTCCATACTGTTCTTAATACATTTCTTAAGGTGCTGATGATGAGAATTTGTTTAATAATCTAGCATTAATCCAAAATTTCCTTTTCATTTATCATTTGTATACACCCATTTTAAAAATGTTCTTATTTGAAAATGTATATGAAATATGTACTCCTTTTCTTTTCCTATTAAAAAGGTGTAAACAGAGAAAATCATAGGGACAATTTTTTAAAGAAAAGTACAATAGCTGAAATATATTATGCATCACCTTTTTGATGAGAAAAGAAAAGGTTTTTTTTTTGATTTTCAAATCCAAAGTGTTTGAAAATGCATACATGAATTTGAATAAATATTTATTTTCATGAATATCTGTTGGTTGGTGATCATTTCCTTTATTCTAACTTGTGACCTTAATGTGTTGAAAATGCATGCATGAATTTGAATAAATATTTATTTACATGAATATCTGTTGGTTGGTGATCATTTCCTTTATTCTAACTTGTGACCTTAATGTGTGATTCATGAGTGATTGTAAAGAGAGATTGGATGCTAGTCACTCTAAGGAGTTGTAGGATTAAAGTAACTGTGAATGTTATACATGTATGTCAACAACATAAAGATCCTAGAAATCATGTTGTCTTGTTACAGCTTACCTGGCTTTGCCTGTCACAGGGATGATACAAAGGAAATGGATACAGACACTGAAATTGGTCTGGATGAAATAGAATAACTCTCTTGTATCCTGTCACTTGACAAAAGAAGTTCTGTTGTTCATCATAATGAACAGGTGTAATATTACCAGGCAAGCCGATAAGAAGAAGATTAGAAGTAAGTGATCCCCACTTCATTTTCTTTTGAATGTTTGTGAGCCAGCTCCACTTAAAGCCCAGGAAGTCTCTCACAATATTTTTTCCCACCGAATCATTAAGCATCTGTTGCAAGTACAAACGAGTATCTGATGGTTTGAAGTTGGAAATCCTTGTACAAAAGCTTTCAAATTTCATGTCAGTTCTCTGAGTTGGTGGAACAAAGTTGGGCCAATCTTTGGTTCGTTTGTCATCGCAGTACATGAACTTGTGTGTTTTAGAAGAATAAACAGTGAAAGATCCTTGACCAAGGTTCTCTTTAAGATAGTTCAAGTCCCATTTAAGAGCTGTTCCTACGATATCTGAATTTTTTAGGAGCACTGGTTCCTGCAAGAAAACAAATTAGTATAAGTAATCACATGATTTTGAGTGCAATTATGAATAAATAAGCACTAGTAAATTTTTTTAAAGACTAACAAAATTGCACAAGCCCGTGGGGCGAGTGCAATTTGTGGTCTTTGAAAAAATTAACTAGTGCTTATTTATTCCAAATTGCATGAGAAAAATCATGCAATTATGTGTTAATAATATGCATGGGAAAATACAAGATGGCCTATTATAATCAAACATAAGCAAAGCCTGCGCATCAAGTGAAAAAAATAATTTATTCAAACCGTGCGTTCAGTCAAAACAACCACATATGATCAAAACAATAATATGCAATAATATCTTCACATCTTTAAGTTAAGGTGCAAAAAAGTTGAAAGTCTGGCTAAACAGTTCAAGGAATTGTTCAATCTGTGTATGAATCATTTTCGATGAAATGGAATTGTCGTTTCCGAGCTTTAACCATGTTTGTTTTTAATTTCGGTGTTGGATCGCTCGAGCAAAGTGTTAAGCTAGGTCAGCTCGTAATTTTCAATTTCCTCAGCAATTCCCTTCTCTAAACACCACTTTTCCAAACTGGCAACCAAAAAGCAGTGCTTTTTACAGTGTTTTCGTTGTTTAAGCTGTTTTTCAGCTGCAGTGGCGAAAGAAAACCTACTTCAAACGCCAGCCATTGTTTCACTGGCAAATTTTCAAATTTTGTTGCGACATCCAAGGCTCCCATTTGATTGGCTATCTGTGAGTTTCTTTGATTATTGACCAATCAGAATGTCTGATTTGTTTCTTTCTTTGTACTGAATTAACCCTCTTCTGCACTGAATTAACTCTCTTCTGCACTGAATTACCTGAAAACTGCATTTATCTTAACCAATCAGAACTGAGTAATTTTTCCATGTATATTATTAATGGATGAATAATTTAGCAATTTTCTAATTGCATATGATGATATAATATCACTATTGCAAAGGCTTTTTAGCTTGCAAAGTGCATTATAGATAGAATGAGAAATATGGTAAAGTTTGAGCTTGATAAACAGATGGAAAAAGATGCCTTTCATCTTTTCATGACTGTGGAACAAAGAAAAAATTCTGAGCATAGAATACATGTATCTAACGTTTGATTTCCCATGGGGACTCATGGACACCCACAATTTTCCTTTGTCTTTGGCTCATGGAAAGATGAAAAAAATCTTTCTCTAAATGCATTATATTTTCACACCAAATTTTGTTCAATAGGTTGCTTTCCTTACGGTGGTTTATTGAAGTTTCCTTAAAAAATTAAGGATCAGAGGTGTTTATAAGCCAGCTTCTAGGAAAAAAAGAGAAAAAAAAACTGATCCACTTGTGAACCCCTATAAAGATATCTACATATTTTTATTGGATTTGGAGAAGATAGGGTTGAGGATGTCGATTAAAAAGCCCTACGCTCATGTTGAGAGATGTTGACTTCTTGCAGCTGGACTGTGGAGGGCTACATGGAAGTGAGCGATTACGACAGATTAACTGAATATAAGGGATTTCACTGAGTCACCCAAGCTCTCCAGCTGTAATCCCTACAGACCTTCACTCTTTTTAAAAGATATACAATTAGTTTTGTATGAATCAAGCATTTCCTCAACCTGTACATGCCCACTCGTATGTAATACTTGAGCTGAGACGGTATACGTAGTGGTCAAACTAACCTCATTTGCGATTATTGATTCCACTCGAGGGTCATTGTAGTCGAGTTGTGGAATCCTCGAAAGCCTTAGATCGTATTTCCTCACTCTATGACCGTCAATATCAACATACTTTCCAGTGTCACCGTTTGTTACGCTGTGGATAGAGGCCATTTTGAAAATAGATGAGTCTTTGGTCAGTCAGCAGGTAAAAACAAAAAGATATGAGCAGTTCATCTAGAGCCCGGGACTCCGCGTCAATGATGTCATTGAGACGTGTGCTATTCCAAGAATAATTCAGCGTATCTCAACATTTCGACGTTGGAGATGACGAATTAAGCGTGTTTTTCCCATTAAATATTTAAAGACGCACCTTAGTAGTTCTTGGATGCAGTAAACTGCAAGAGTGATATAACGAATCGGAATTTGGATCAGTTTTCTTCTTTGGAAGATATGAGAGTTATAGCGATCGAACCGGTTTTGCTTTCTCTCTTTGTATGGATTTTTCTCTCCTTTGGAAGGGCAATTCCAAATCAGTCTTCGATTTGCAGACAGCCTATGGGTAAGATTTATCTGTCACTCCTTATTTTCTGAAGTAGCGTCTCAATCGTTGCAGCTTTTTATCTTACAACGTGCACGATTGCCGTTGTAACGCAAGAACGAGATGTTTTTAAATTACTTCGGTTCAAATGGTTTAAACCAATTTTCCTTTCTATTTTCCTAATGAAAGACGTTTTTCAATGACGGTAATTTGCGCTGATAAAAGAAAAAAATTAAGCCAGATTAAAGTCCTTTAGACTTGAAATTCATTTTAAACTTTGATCGGGAAAACTACCGCACAATTTTTTTCTACGTTCTTATGAAGTACTATAGAGACTCACGGAGTGCCAAGACACTACATTGGGAAGCTTGTATATTACAGTTATAAATAATTTTCTTAAGCTACTGGATAGCACATTCTGTTCATCCGACATGATATGAAAATTTTCGTAGCTTCGTAATAACAAGTTAAGAACATCAAGTACCTGTTAGTGTCTTAGAAAGATTTTCGCAACTGTGTAGTATTCTTTCTCAATAGTGTTGGTGGTATTTATTTAATGCATGATTTACCCTGTGGATCCTTTCCCTCCATGTTTTTATGGGAATTAATGTTGAGGTGTTGCCAAAGTAGAGCACTCCAAGCTGGAGTCAGTTTTGTTGCCATGGCGAGTAGGAAAAATAATATTAGTAACTAGTTTACATTTGGTAGTCATGTAAATAGGTGTACTCTTCTCATTACGTAGAGTTTAAATTGGTCTGAAGTTGGAGGAATGATTAATATGAATTAAGTTTGCTAAAGGGCAACCTCAGAGCTGGGGACCCTAAGCAAAGAGGATAATGCATACATTATTCAGGTTTTGATTTTTCTCTAATCTTTACCAGACACTGGGCTATGTCGACAGGCACTCCCAAGATGGTATTACAATGCCACTACAAGAAAATGTGAAAAATTTATTTTTGGGGGATGCAAAGGCAACAACAATAACTTTAAGACTAAAGATGACTGTAAAAGAAATTGCACAGGACCAGAAGGTAGGTTGTCTGTATGAGTAATACAAAATTATATCAGGTTGGTTTTGTAGTTTATATTCCTCAATCTTCCCTTCCACTAGATATTTTATTATGATACCGCTAGACTTTTGTTTAGAGGCATCTCTTATTATCTTCACTAATACAAAATACATAGCACATGTATTGCTTAAGTAAACCTTTCTCCTCTCCTTGACTTATTTGTTAGAGATATGATCATTGTTAATAGAATCAGCAATCTGTTTAGTATCATTATACCAATTTGTATGACATATAAAGTTGCAGGTTTTTCAAGACAAGAAACGAATACTGGAACTGGGAAGACTGAAAAAGGAAACAGATTGGTGGATAAAAAGGGAGCTGGTAAACCATTCCAATCATTGCAAGAAAAAGGCAATCGTAAACTAAAGACCAGAAATGATGAAAACACAGAGTCAGTCAGCCAACAGTCTACTGGCCCTGAAGAAAAAAAGGATCTGATGCCTAAGTTGGGTAAAGGGAGAAATGCAGATTTATTCAGTAAACATTCTCAAGGATCTAAAGACAAAGAAAAAATTGTGCTAAAATCCAGTAAAGGTGGAAGTACAAATTCATTGCCTCAAGCATTTCAGAAAGGAGAGAATCTTACAATAGAGTTAAAAATTAAAAATGGAAGTAATGATTCTCTTAGTGAGCAGTCCCAAGCATCTAATAAAGAAGGGAATCATATGACTGGATCCAGTAAAAATGAAAGTATAGGTTTAGTCGATGAACAGTCTCAAGCATCCAATGGGAGTCATGCATCTGGATCCAGTAAAAATGAAAGTGTAGATTCAGTGATTAAATTATCCCAAGTATCTGGAAAAGAAGGGAGTCGTACATCTGGGTTAAATAAAAATGGACAAAAAGAATCAGTCAATGAAAAGACCCACGCACCCAAAGAAAATGGGAATCTGAAGCTCAAGTCTGTTAAAGCTGAAAGTGGTAATTCAGAAGAAGAGAATGCTGTGCCCCAGTCTCATGAAGAGGGAAATGCAGATTTAGTCAATGAACCATCCTCAGCAGCTGAAGAAAAAGACAATGCTATGCCCCAGTCTCTTGAAAGGGGAAATGTAGATTCAGTCAATGAATCTTCCTCAGCGCCTAAAGAAGAAGAGAATGCTATGCCCCAGTCTCATGAAGGGGGAAATGCAGATTCAGTCAATGAACCATCCTCCACACCTAAAGGAGAAGAGAATGCTGTGCCCCAGTCTCATGAAGGGGGAAATGCAGATTTAGTCAATAAACCATCCTCAATAGCTAAAGAAAAAGAGAATACAGTGCCCCAGTCTCATGAAGGGGGAAATGAAGATATAGTCAATGAACCATCCTCAGCAGCTAAAGAAAAAGAGAATGCTGTGCCCCAGTCTCATGAAGGGGGAAATGCAGATTTAGTCAATGAACCATCCTCAGCAGCTAAAGAAAAAGACAATGCTATGCCCCAGTCTCTTGAAAGGGCAAATGCAGATTCATTCGATGAAAAGACCCAAGCACTCAAAGAAAATGGGAATCTGAAGCTCAAGTCTGGTAAAGCTGAAAGTGGTAATTCAAAAGAAGAGAATGCTGTGCTTCAGTCTCATGAAGGGGGAAATGCAGATTTAGTCAATGAACCATCCTCAGCAGCTGAAGAAAAAGAGAATGCTATGCCCCAATCTCCTAACAGGGGAAATGCAGATTTAGTCAAAGAACCATCCTCAGCAGCTGAAGAAAAAGACAATGCTATGCCCCAGTCTCCTAAAAGGGGAAGTACAGATTCAGAAGAGAAAAATCTTCAGCCAGATTCCAGGAAAGGTGGTAGAGATGATGAATCAGAAAAAAACCAGAATAACAGAGGAAGACAATCAGAAGGCTATCGAAGGGGACAGGTAATTGCCCTTTCTGTCGAGTAGTTTTCTTAAATTAGCTAATTTGTAGTGACAGGGTGTTTATATGACACAACAGTTATTTGAAACTTGACCTGTAGAAGTTTGTAATTGACCATGCCAGCAACCAATGATACACTTGAAAGAGTTTTTTGTGCCAGAGAATGTGTTACTTTTTTTCTTTCTGCAGGATATTGACTCTCAAAAACTTCTAATAAAATGTCTTTGCAAAATTGATGAAAATATACACACTTACATGAACATGTATTAGCTAGTAAAGCAGGAAGTTACAAAGTTTGCAATCTTTCTTTTGCATCATAGTAAAAGTATCAGAAGTATGCCTTTATGTTTAATCCTTTCACTCTAGGAGTGTCCAAAAATTATTGTCCTGGCTATATCGATACTTTTTCATAAAAAGAAAGGTGATGAAAAGAATTAAAAAAATATCATCCATAGGATATTGTTTGATTTCACATAAAATTCTCAGTTTTTAATTAAAAGAAAGGATGAAGGATAGTGAAGAGGATTTGTGTGAATGTTGAGGTGAATTTTGTTGCTTGCTGCATTATTTCTTAACCCTGACAAAAGTAACATGAATTTGACATAGTTATGTCTCTGTCACCAATACAGGAGGACCGTGAGGATAGCCTGGGTTTTCGTCCTGAAGATTACGCAAAGAAGGGGTAAGATTTTTGTTCTTTTGAATTGTTAAATCAGTCAATAGAAGGTTAACCTTTTCAAGTTTTGTAAAAGTTAGCTCCACCCTCCGTGGGGTAGGGGTCTGTGATTTTGGGTCCTAATTATTGGGCTACTTCCTTATCTTCCCATGACCAAGCCTTTTAGCAAGATGGACTTGGTTTCAATTTTTCAGAGATTAGTCTCACACAAAAAAATCAATTATGAGGCAGTTCAGGAGGTGTAGGTACTAAAATTAATCAAGGGAGTTACTGGGGGTATTACAAGATAATTTGGCTTTGGTAACTGAGTTGATAATGTAAATTTACCCACCATGAAGAGTTTCTAAAGCTGACATTTTGAGTGCCATTTGGGGTGAAGTCCAAGTCCAAAAAAGTCAAGTCCAAGTTCAAAAACAAGTCTCATTTGTGAGAGAATCAAGTCTTTTTAAATCAAAGGCTTTGCACTTAGTTTAGAAGAGAGACATTTATTTCATTTTAAAAAAAGCTTAGTTCTTAAAGTTATTTCTCTTTCCTTTTTTTTTTTCCCATAGCATCTATCGTGGCTCAGACTCGTATGAACACAGGTCAAGTCACTTTGCTGCCTATTTCCTAACTTCTATTGTAATGGTTTTTGCTGCTTATGCTCTGTACCACAACAGACAAAAGGTAACTGTTCTAATTTTTTTTTTTTTTTTTTAACAAAATTAATTTAGGGAACTTAATGAACAGTATATGCCTCCTCTCTGATTTTGAAGTTAGGTTACAACTACTTGAATAATCAATGGGAGGTAGCAAAGTGGCATATATGTGGAGTGAAATTCACTTGGCAAAATCGGAAGGGTGATTAACTAGTTGTAAAGTTTACGTTAGAGACAATAAAATATTCGTGCGAATATGCATTTAAATTAAGAGCTGCTACGAAGTGCTTTGCTCAGTATTAGTCTGTATGGCCTATTCCTGAAGGAGTGGGCTCTAGTGCTGGTCTCCTCTGCAGCCTTCTTTGGGACGTCACACAACACTCCCCCCTGATTAGACAGCATTGTGTGACTTTCTAGAAAAACAGCTACAAAGGAGCTCCTGTTGCCTAACACAACAGAAGACGCCTTACTCTTGGCACATTACATAAGCCACTTCATTATGCTTGCTATTGTCACCCTGTTCTGTCTCCTTACTAGTCCCTCTCCTCTCTTCACGAAGGGGCTTCAATGGTGTGCACTTATCCGAGCTCGAGAATTGTAATGAATCTGTTAAAACAATCTTTCATCTGGATTATGAATGTAAGGTGTTTGATCGCGAATTCAATGTATTATCTAATTTTGTTTCAATGCAGATTATAGCAATCATTATAGAGGGCAAGAGTGATGACAGTAGCAGGAGACGCGGTTACAGGAAACTGGAAACTAACGTAGAAGAAGCCATGCCGTCACTGAAAAGTGCAAACTCGACATACGTGTATTAGAATTTCTGTAAATTGAAAAGTAGAAATTCGTTTATTTACAAAAAGGACAAAATATGTAGCAATACGTCAAACGAACAGACAAAGGTGATAGACTGGGAAACGTACTCGATCAAAAGTTAAACATTTGTTGCTGATTTTTGAGACGACTTTCGGCCAGTATTTGATGAAAGTGTTTTATAAGAATTAATATGCCGGACTTTTGTTGTTGCTTTTGCCTTTCAAAATTCTTTAAATTTCTAAAGGCTTCAATCTTCAGTGGTGTAAAGTTTATTGCGATGGACTAGCCTCTGTTGCTAGTCCGTGGGCTCTAATGTATTATGAGACAAAGTTCTGTATGTAATTCATAAGAAAACAAAATGGATTAAATGCTTGGCCTTCACTTGTTTATTATGATAACTGGTTGCCAGAGTCACCGAAGGGATACTTTGATGGATGTGTTGAGTGTTCCGTTGGGAGCTTAGGCGGTTACTAAGGTGTAAACTTAGTGGGGCCTTGTGAACTTTCAGAATTACGATGTAAGTAAAATTTGTATTTTTCAAAAGTTGAAACACTCAGTCCCTTAAAAGCCTGACCAGTCGAAGGAGCAATACTGCGATCATCCTTAGGCCCTTATCCTGTCTGTACGTTCCTTGCTGAGTGACAATGACGTCATCATTATCTCGAACATCTTTAGGGCCCTTATATAAAAAGAGAAAAAAAAAAAAGGCGTCAGTCTGGACATACTGTCCGAAGTAATATGCACTCAGAAGTTAAGGACTCAGAAGGAGGTCCTGGTGCGTTGTGCGTGTGCTGCTTCTGACGGATCAGCATACCAACTAACCTGGCAAGTGGCCGATTTTTGATTTTGAAAACGGATGGCCGATTCTTTATTTTAAAGGACATGAAAACCCAAAAACACATTTTTTTTCTTATACTATGTAAAAAGTGGCGTAGAAAACGAATTTGAAATTTGTTTTGTCCAATTCGACTTATTTAAGGAGAAAATCGGACATTATTGCGCAACACGTATTCCCTAGTAGAATTGGTGTGGGAGCTGGTGTAAGTAGCAGTAGTTCGGAAGATGTTTTTCCAGAAGATAGCGACTCGAATGCCTTAAGCTTAGCATATGATAGCGATGGGGATAATCCAGAATTTTTAAGAGAGTCTAGACCACGTCCTTAACAATATGAGCCGCGTAAGGTTCACCAAAGCGAACCGCACGAAGACGGTACAGAACATTTTGACGGCTATGCGACCTTCTCGGAAACTCAGACTGGTATTTAATTTACTGTATCATTTATTTGTATTTGACTTGAAAATCCAATAAAGTAAGGGTACAATCAAAAGAATGCAACAAAAATGTTTTTAACCTGAGCTTCCGTGGGTGTTTTATAGAATATCAAAGGTGCGAGTGTGGAACTTGCCAACCGATGCCGACTCATGAAAGTGTTTATTTTACGGAAATCGGGCAATTGTGGAAAAAAGTAAAGGAGCAAGGGCCTGAAACCCAGATAAGTTCAAGTATCACTGAGCACCCAGGTTTTCAGTCAATTTGCCTTGATGTCTGGGTGCTGCAGATGGCCTATTGCGCGTACAGGCAGCAGACCGCCAAAACTTTGAGAGAAACAAAGGTATTTGTAAATGCAGACCTTAGTTATTTATGTCTTACAGCACTGGCGGTTGTGCCCATTCTTTATGACATATTTATGAATTGCTTTCCTTCATCTCCGAAGCATTTTCGTCGATAAACAAGTTGTAACGTGTACATTTCCTTGTGTGGCCTTCATAATTATCCAACCCTGTTTGTGTTTGCTTCGATTTGAAATACTAAAAAGATAGTTTTGCAAGCTGAAATCGGGATCTTTTAAGTTGTACTAAAAATGATAAATATTGTCCTACTGACCTTTGATCGGTTAGGAGAGGTAAAGAGCGATGAATCCGAGAGCTTTGAGAGTAAATAAACAGCAGAAGAACTTTTTTGGGTTTACATGCCCTTTAAACCCTAGTGGCCGATTAGTGTCTGATTTTTTATTTTGGACCCTGATGGCCGATTTTTTGTACGTAATTTTGGCCACCAGTGGTTGATTTTCGATTTTGGACACTAGTAACCGTTTTTTATAATTTTGGACCATAGTGACAGATTTTCAATTTGGACACTACTGGGTAATTTTCGATTTCGAACACTGAATGAAGTGAACTCTGAATGTTTACAGCTGAAAATCTGAAATATCTTTCACAGATTATTATGGCCGATTTATGATCTTAGACTCTAGTGGCCCATTTTTGATTAATTTGGACACTGGTGGCCAATTTTATTTATTTTGGAGACTAATGGCCCATTAGCCGATCTTTGGTTTTGAACACCCGTGACAGATTTTTGATTTAGGACACTAGTGGCCGAGTTTTGGTTTTAGACACCCGTGGTATATTTTTGATTTTTGACATTAGTGGGTGATTTTTTATTTCCTAGACATAAGTGTTGAGGAGGCGCCTGAAATCGAGTGGAGTCGTACGAAATCAGACCAAAGCGTCCGAAATCGAACGGAGTAATTCGAAATTTGACGCAGCTTTCATTCATAATCGGAAAGAGAGAGGAGATATGTCGCAATGTTGACCTTCTTCAGTCTTTTTTTTTTTTTTTCTCCTTTGGCGTTTTTTATGGCTTCTTGTATAGGGAATATTTAAATTAAGTTCTGCGGTGTTACATGATTGACTCTTGTCCTTCGGTTACACTTGTACCCAGGGCCTTATCGAGACCATCATAATATTCACTCGTGATCCCGAGAATCATGACTAATTTCGGTTTCCGGGATATGAACGTTTCAAAGTGCAGCTCTTCTTTTACTCGAATATTTGCGTTTTCAGGCAAGAACTTTTTAGAAATTTAGTGCAGATATTTGGAGACTGTGCTTGGAAGAACTCATTCAAAATGAGACTGCAGTTAAATGCAGTAATTTTCATAACTTTGAGCCTTGGAAAGTTACCCTTCATATCATCGAGTAAGAACACGACGCAGACACAAAACGTTACTTTAGGTATGTCATTCACAAATTTTGTCAACTATGTAGTAAAGAAACATGTGACTTTGTTCTCATCTACCTATAAGTATCGTTTCTAAGCGAAAGTTAGCCGCTCTCAAAGAGCCGTTTAACAGTTTCGTTTCACTCATCTCAGCGTGACAACCAAAACACAGCATGTTCAAATATTACTCGCATCAGAACTCGAGGAGCATGGTCACCGCAGGATTTTTCCATCCTTACTTTAATTAAGTCTTTCTATATAATTCGCACGTATTTTCAGGCATAATCTGAGAAAGAGAATAGAACTTTAAGTATCCAAGTTCCAGGCACGAACGGTAACGACCGAACGACTATCACGCAAGTTAGTACCTTTCAATGCAAGTTCCAAGCCCTCAGTTAGTGAAAGAATAAAGAAGCGTTGTTTCAAGTGTAACTCCAATATGTTGGGGAGAAGACCTGCCGACGTAAACGCGGCGAAAAAAACCCTTTTACTGCAAAAAAGGGCTATCTACATGAAAAATATAGAGGCGCGAAAATGGGCCATTATTTACTCTCAAAGCTCTCGGATTCATCGCTCTTTACCTCTCCAAACCGATCACGTGTGTCCACGGTCAATTAAATATCAGGATATATTTCCATTCCAAATTAAGTCTTCTCTTTGTTTAAATAAATCTCCACGTTAAGATAGCCTGCGAGGTGACGATGAAAGATGACTTGGTAAGCTAACTACTTTCTGTTGTTTTCTCTTAGCGGAATTGGAAAGGGTAGTCCTTAAATTCTTCCAAAACCAACCTGATGCAAGACGACGCCTTGGCAATAAGACTCTGTTGCAGTAAGTTTCAATGAATTATTACGAAGATACTGGCAATTAAGTTTTGAAAAGGCAAAAATATAACGGGCGACTGGTTATGTTAACGTCGTTATGTTAACCCTATTGTGCGTCATTTATGGGGATAGATATCGCTCAGTTTTGCTGACACTGCACTATAGCACCACAGAGTGAGCAAGGTACATAATCAGTGTTCATTATTACTTTGGGGAAGAATTTTTTTTCTTTTTTTGGGTCAATATCTTATAAAACTTGACTAATTAGATACCAGGCTTTAATCATGATAAGGTGTTTAGGGACGTAAAATTGCACATATCCTATATGAATCAGACCATGCCAGTTCTCTTATTAGGGCTATGTTAACAATTCCTGCCTTCGTAAATCATCCCACATGACTTAGTTCACGCAACAACCTAAGTCATTTTTAACGCACCTTTTGAATCAGTCTTTACCTTATCATTTCTTATTTAGGTTGATTCATTTGTTGATATCCAAGCCAATATAATCCGGCACTGAATGTTGAAGTTCCTTTCTCTATATTGAATGCAGGGTAGCAGCGCTGCCAAAGGAAAACCAAGAAGATGATGATAGTGACTCTTCGTCGACACCGATAACGAACTCCATATCTACAGAGCCTCTGCAGAAAACAACTAACAAAACAGCAACATCGATGTCAAAATCGACTAATGCAAAACCAAGAAAAAAACCTGCAACAACAAAGTCTACGACAGCAAAATCTGCAACTGCAAAATCTACTTCTATAAGATCTACGACAGCAAAATCTACTACGGCAAAATCTACTACGGCAAAATCTACTACTGCAATACCAACGACCAGTAGGCCAACGACTAAAACAGAAGTAACTACAATAGCAGCGACCACAGGAACGATTCCAACGACTGTAGAAGCAACAATCGCAGAACCACCGACTACAAAATCGTCGACTTTAAAACTAACGACTACAAAAGAAACGACTGCAAAGGCATCAACCACAAAACCATCGACTACAAAATCAAAGACTAAACAAAAGACTGCCGAAGAAACCACTGAAAAAGCAACGAATGCAAAAATTACGCCAAAACCTGTGATTACAAAAGCAAAGAATACAACAGAATCGACAACAAACACCACACAGACAGGTATGAATCAATAAGTACATCGTAACTACTGGAGAAATTACTTACTACGTAGGTTACTTTTAGCAAACGTGCATTCGCGCACCAGCCCAAATAAAATGATTGTTGAGCAGAACCTTTTAGTGATCGGATGGTACGTGATATCCTTGACTTGAACCGCATGGATATATATGTTGTGGTACAATTTTATCCTCAGTTCAAATTTTATTTTCTTTTGTTTTCGGGTATTGTAATGTATGAAAACGAATTTGGAACAAAAGGAAAATAAAATTTGAACCAAGGATAAAATTGAACCACAGCATATATCTGTACCCTATAAATTATTTCTTCAAGCTTTCCGTAACAAAATTAAATTAGGACATCCGTATTTAAAAAAAATTTAAAAACTCCTTCATGAAGTGTATTTTACATATAATCAGGAAAAGACAAACGCTCACTGAATGTTTTTTTCCCCATCTTGTAAATTTCGAATTCAGTTTTCCTGAGACTCATTTTTTTTTTTTTTTTAAGGCAAAAGCAATTCTACTAACCACAGTCCCAGTGTTAATCCTGGAAGGTAAGACAACTTTAATCATAGAACTTGTTTTAGTTTACTTTAGTTCCTATTCTTCTTTTCTTCTGTTCTCATTACAAATCTTTTCTCACTTCTCTTATTTTGCTTTGCCATATATTCTCTTCTTTTATTTTTTTTTTCTGTTCTCCCTCGCTTTCTTAATTTTTTGCTTTTTGTTTTTCCTAATCTGCTCAAATTCAAAAGAACCTCACAGAAAGAGATAACTTTCTCAGTTGAGCTAGTTGACTTAATTTCTCAAACTTTGTCATTGTTTGTTTACATTAAGTATTCTGAAAACCAAATGCTAGATCAATAATATCTTATCTCTGAATTTATGGCTATTTTCACTCTCAGTGGACTATCTCAGCTGATAAAGCATAAAGTAAGCTTTCCAGTGCTTTTTATGGTGATGTTGGTTTTCATAGTGGCAGTCTACTTTGGATATCACAACAGAAACAAGGTTTGTTCAAACATGGTTTTCATGTTCAAAGTAATTTTTTTGTTTTGATTAAACATGAAAAATCTATTTTCATGATTTGTACTGAAGACCTGACAAACCGAGACTGTTTAAAAGGTAAACAAAAATTTTCAATGCTCTGTGACTGATTAAGAAGAAAATTCTTCCAAGCTCTGCAAAAGGTTGAAATGATATCTGTCCAGAGCTCTGCAATTTTTTTTATGACAACAATTCTGTAGAGATCTGCAATTGGATAAAAAAAAGATTAATCAAAGGTATCACTTAAGAGGAACAATCTAAAGAACTCTGTGATTTGTCCAAATGCCACATACCTTCAATGGTCACCAAAACCAATCGAAACCTGACTGAAAGTTTTGCTTATGCTTTGAATTCCCTTTGTCTGGCATTGTCCTGTCACTTACATTGGTTTGCAATATGGGAATAAGTATGCCCTTTTCCCTTTCTTTGCAGATTAATCACTTTTTAAAGGAAGGCTTTGTCAAAGCAAAAAAGGGAGGTAGCGGTTACCTTAAAGTCAAAGTGGAAGATGGCGACTACATTGAGCTACCTTGTGATGCAAACAGACAATATGTTTATTGAACTGAAAATGCTGTATCCTGTGCCTTGTGCACAAGTAATCATTGGTGATATTAAAATTACCCATCAGATGCTCCTTCTAAATGGCAGTTGATTACACTAGCAACCACATGAATACACTCTATTCAAGAGTATAATTTTCATTCAGCCAAGTGTTACTCAATATAAGGAAACTGTAACAGCCTTTGGCATTGTTTACCTGCTTAGTTATGAATTGTATATTTTCTTGTAACAATTTTTGTTTTCTCCTCTGGATTACTACTTTTGAGGAGGGTCTATTGGATCTACTCATGACATTGATAGGTTTACATGGAGTGGTATGTGGGTTTCAGTATGTTTACACTTCAACCTGAGTGACTCTATGCATTTGTAGTAGGCCATCATACTTAAATAAACTAATTAAAGTAAATAATATGAAGACAGCACTAGAAACATCTTTAATTGGCCTTATGCCACAGAGGATATTCAATTACTTATTACAGATTTTGTGTTACCATCCTAAAAATGAAGGTCAAAAGTTAATCTTCATTCAATTTTCCAGCAGTTGGGTAAAAAACACCTGTAAATCATTTTGTCTAGGGAGCAAATCAATATTTTTAAAAGGAAAGTCAAATGGATTTTTAAAAGTAAGTCACACCCATATAGAAAATCTGCAGTTTGTCCAAAATAGGAGTTTGTACATTCATTTTACATAGTTTTATACCAGTTAATTAAGATAATTGTAAATTATATAACATCTGTAGTAAATTATTTTATTTTGAAAATAAAGTGAAATGAGTTATAAATTACCCCAACAGGTAAGGGGCATGCTGTGATCCCACTGTGAACTTAAACATGCACTTCCCTTAGTTGTTTTTCTGTCCTCTCCTTTCTCCTTTTTTCCCAGCACAAACATAAACACTATACAGGAGTAGTTACCAAGACAACGTGGTAATACAAAAGGGGTTAGGTGTGGGGGAAATTCCTCTGTAGGTATAGGATGTGAGATAACACAGTTGAACACAAAAATGGCTTTTATTTTTCAAAAATATTATAAATTACTAATTGAAGAGCTGTTATTCCTTACTATGGAAAAGATCACTTTTGGGATCATGTTTTCTCTTTTACATCAGCATTTTGATAATTTCATATGGCAAACACAAATCTATCAGTTGTTTTGTATTAAAATTGTTAATCTAACATGCATCTTCAGAATGGAACTCAAATACAATCAGTTGGCTGATAAACAATTATTATTTTAAGAAGGTTCAAGCCATGTAGTCTTAATTTTCAGCCTAGGAAAGCATGGCAGCCCTGAAGAAACTGCACTTCACCTCATTAACATATTGTCAAGTCCATAGAGACTTTCAAAAATACATGGAGGCGGAGTTCAGTACCAACAATATCATGCTCAAATATATCCACATTTTAAATACACAAGTTTGATTAAGAATTACATATTTTCCAAAACTTTGCATTAAAAACCAAATTCCTATGTGGAACTACACTTTTATTTTTATATAATCATCAATTTCAACTTACTTATTGAGTTAAATTTCTTCTAACCTAATTATGATACATATCCCTGAGGATTACTGTTGGTGATTTCTGCATAACTAAGACAACTGATCTAGTAGTTCTTGAAGGCTTCACTCTTCTTTTATGGCTGGCTTGTTCATTTGCCAGATGCAATAGTTAAGAGCTGTAGCCAGTGTAACCCAACCAAGATAAGGCAGCATGAGTCCTGCTGCAAGTTTATTGATTGGGTAGAATGTGTAAACACAACCAGCAATATTCAGCCACAGAAGGCAAATCTCACCAAAAGCCTTTTTATGAAGGAGAGAAAATCAAAATTGTAATAAATCATATTGTGCATTGTAAATTTTGGCTTTTGTTTTGTTTCTTTGAGGAGGGGGAGGGTGACA